TTTTTAAACACCTCTTCATGAACCTATAAAAAGAAAAATAGAGAAATTTAAAGACAATGTATCAAGTGATATCTAATGACTTATAATTATAATGATAGGTCCCCAAAGAGAAAGAAAAACTTGAAAACATAGCTACTTACAATATGCTAGCAGATAACCTTTTCTCCATTTTCTTCTTTGGGGAAATCCAAACTGTACTACAATGTTTCTTTAAAATCCCTTTATTAAAAAGTTCCTTGTGCTTGCTCAAAGCATCTTAGAAAACTAGCATCAATATTGTATCACCCTAAGTGGTGGCTACTTTATATTAGACTTTTTTTTTTTTTTTTAAGGCAACACAAATGGAGGAAAAGGTGGTTGTAAAAAACATCACAGGAAACCAAATAGCCTTTATTTAAATTAAAAGCAATCACAGCCTGATTCTTGGAACACACTTAGAAATGCTTTTTGGCATGCAGCTGCTACATGCCGCCAATATTGTGTGTAATTGGAAACATTTCAAACAGAATTGTTACCAAAGTCAAAGACCATAATTGTGAGCTGTGGGATCAGTACCTCAGATAAAAGAGCGGCTGAATGAGTGCACACAGTACAGAGGAGTCCACGCGCACCGGGCTGTGTCTAACTGTAGTATTTCCCCGGCATTATTGACAAACCTTTCTTTCAGAGACTCAATGAGAAAAGAAGGATGCAGAGGAAAGCTGGTGGATGCTATAAATCAGCAACTGGGACAAAACTCTTAAAAGGAGTCTATGACTTCAGTACCAGAACAACTGAAATAACACAGCCCTTACTTTTTTCCTTAAGTGTAATCCACCAGAAATGAAAAGCATCTCTCCCAAGGGTTTACCCTAAGTCTATCAGTGTGTGTGTGTGTGTGTGKGGGGGGGTGGCGGGAAGGGGGAAGCAACCACACTTTCTTTAATTGGTCAGTTGACTTTTAGGGTCATTTAGGACCAAACCTGGGAGCAGGAGGAGTTAAGTAAAGGCAAATGACAGTTGCTTGCTCCTTTACAGCTCTAAGTTTTAAAATGTTTACATTGGCATCTGCCTTGCTGGATTTTTAACTTTTACTTAAAAATCTCTCTTTGTAGGAAAACGAACCTGGACGGGTGTAATCAGTTCAGTCTAGGCAATTATTCTTGTGCCCAGTGARATCACTTCAAAAGTGACCAAAACTCATTTGGAGTTTAGCCTAAATTGTGAGCACAAACCAAGACATGGGAAAAATTGACCCCCTCACCCAGTAACTGGAAATAGTCTGGGCTAGTGGACCAGTGGCTCAGGAACGGTGCTTGGAAAAATCATGTCATTCTGGCACAGAGAAAGTGATCTGATTATTCTGTCATATCTCCGTACCAGAAGTGTCATGACATCAGCACACTCTGACTTGTAAAGCATGTCTTTTCTCTCCTTCAGGAGAGAGAGAGGGGAAGGGGGGGACACAAAGGCTGAGTAGCATTCCCCATGCCATTTCAAGCCAGGTCTTTTCTTCAGCTCTACAACATTCACTCACTAACACATATGGCATTAGCCCCCTTGACTTCAGTCCAGCATGACCCTGAACAAGGAGGTGGGTTGCCGATTACATTATGCTTGTGTATGTCCACAGGTGGAGAGCTCCAGAGGCCAACGGGCTGCCACAGTGGCCCCACACCCTCTTGCTCCCTGGCATTCTGAAGCTCTGGCTCCATAGGTTGCCTGAGATTTCGAGGAACAGCACCAATGCAGGGACTTGGCACCAGGATTATTGTACTTTCCTCTCCCGACTCGCTTGCTCACATAGACCTTGTAAAAGCATGAGTGTGCAATATGGCAATGCTCTATTCAGTGAGCAGAGGAGCAAGAAGCAATGGTCCCTCAGAACACCAGCCAACCAACCAGCCAAGAAACAGCTCATTCACCTCACTAACTCCTCTTTATTGTGRAACAATTACAGATTTAAGCAATTTTAATATTCTCATACTAATAAGAGTTGAATAATTTTTATTATTTTATATAACATGGAGACAATAAAGAGAGATGTTTTCCCAATGGGGAAGGGTCTATCCTGGTCAAGGGGTATCTTTAATATTTCTATGCACAGATGGGAATCGATTTGACTTTTAAAAATTACTTTCCTTCTTTAAAAGGAAAGATTTACTCTGTATATACTATTTTAACAAGGGAATCAAATGCAGTGATTAGAAAACAAGTAAATGATAATCTTTACTTCAAATTGTTTTCCCCTAATATTAGACAAGCTAAAATATATGTAGAGGCCTCAAAGAGTTAGTAATTGGAAGATAACTTTTAAAGAGTCTTATTCCATTTCATGAGTATTACAGTYATTCAAAACACTCAATTCAGTCACTTACAATATTCAACTCTTTGCACATTACTTCCAAGCAATTATATATTTTAGAGAAATTCTCTTCCCATGATACTTTTTAAACTTATATGGAAGCTTACTTTTAAAATCCTTAAGGAAATTACAAAATTTAAACTTTTTTGGTCCTATCAGTGTTATGCTTGGAGAAAATATTAGGAACAATTCTATAATAGTTTGGCTATTAACTCTAGTGGGTTCCTTCTCTCCTCAGCTCATATTAGATTTTATTTCCATGACCTGAGCTGACTCATTACAACTCCTTTTATTGTAGAGACAAATGGTGATCCCATGGACTTTGATTATAAAAACACAATAAACTTTTTAAGCTTCATTGGTATTACTGGCGGAACTGATTGAATCTGTCACTTCCGAAAAATATATCACTTTTCTTCTAAAAATCTACAAATCAACAGGCTCACTCAGTGGTAAATTACCAATTAGTACCAAATTAAGGATGGAAAAATTAATTTACTAAATCCATTCACTCGTGTCAATATGTCTATCTCTATGCACCATCCAGTTATTCTCCTCCTCCCTCCTTCTTTCCTTCCTTCTTTCCCTCCTGGGCTTATTCATAAGTATGAACCACTATGTTAGTCATGACTTATTAGAGTTTCTTGAGCTCATCAGCAAGTGTGCTAACCCTTAACTGTGGGTAACATCCATTTATTTCTAGCACCTTTCAGTTTTAATATGGAGAGCACATGCATTGTTAACCTTTAAATCCTTTGTATAAACATTTCTGGAAGAGCTTGTAAAATATCTCCTTCTGTGTTTCCTGACTTGCCAGTTGATGGCATTTAGAACCCCTCTGGTACCAGCAGGTGCTGTATTTTGCTTTCTTCAGCTCCAGCTAGCTACAATGACAGATTCCTGTCCCAGGCCAATCCCAGCCACCTAGGCTAGGACCACATTGGAGGCAAAATGAACCGGTCTCCACCAGACAGCAAGATAAATGGCTGCTGTTTAAGTTTAAAATCCCCTGGTGGGAGTAAATATTGTTCCAGGGAAAGAGGCCTGACAAATATTGCATCATCCTTACAGAGCTATCTTGATTAAAACAGAACTTTTAAATTCCATTGGTGCTCAATTCAAAATGTATCTATCTTGCTGTCATGGGATGCCCCCCACCCAATTCCTGGAGTCTGAAAACAGACATATTGTTGGGAATGGTCAAATAAGGCTGCTGTCCCCCAAGGGGCTAGAGTCCCACTCTTGATAATAGAAGGCCAGGCTGAACACTGACACTTCACTGAGGATAATGGAGACAGCAAAGGCTTAGTGGGAAAAGGCCAGTTGTCACCTAAGTGACAGGCAACAGCTGAGCTCACACATCTGGAGCCGGGACTAGGGCAAACATTAGCAACCCTCAGGACAGTCTACACCTTGGGCCAGTCTGAAGAGGCAGATGGAAGTTCCCTTTATTCCAAAAGTACATTTAAAAATATCTGATGGTGAACCATGTCAATTATATAACATCAATGGCAGACATAGCCTTTCCAAGTGCTGATTTAAAATGAGGCAGTACACGAAACTCTATGCAGGCAGAGATACTAGATCCGAGTCCATTAATTATAATTTGTCCTTCATAAACCTATCCTGAGAGCCACAAGAGTACACATCCTTTATATAATACAAATGCATTTGGAGTCCGCAGGAGAGAAAAGGTCTTTACATGTCCCTTTCCTTTAGGCCGGTTCCCTTGGTGCATTCTTCACCTTGTTCATGGCTGCAGTTCTGCCTCTGATACTCTTTAAAATCAGCAGCAAAACGTGTTTGGCTTGTGATTCTGAATCCTCCTGAGGCTAGCAGGAACTCACTAGGGTGCCAGCGGTCCTCCCGACCTCCCCCCGCCCCCCCGCCCTCCCTTCCGTCACCCCGCCCCACCTTCAGCCTCCTGAAGACAATCTGTGGACAATTTTCCCAAAGTCCCCAAAATAACACGGCGCTGCCAATAGTCCCTGGCGATGCCATTTGTTTTTCTTAGAGGGCAATGAAAATTTAACAGCTTTCTGGGGCATCCTGGGTCCTGCTCCTGCTAATTATTAACATGCCTAGTTTCTCCAACTTTTTCGGCCTAAAGGGAGAAAGACGCTCCGGTTTTCTTCATATAACGTGCTGCATTCAGAAAATAACATCACCGAGACGGAGGAAATCTGCTGCACCCCTGCCAAAAAGCAATCGACCCTTTCCCCAGCGCTAGGAAAGAACCAAGACCCTCCCTCCGGACKCCAGTAGGTGACAGGCTATCCTCAGTGGCAACGACGTGCCAATGCACCCTTGCCTCCCCGCGCCCCGCATCGCCCCGACTCCAGGGCCACAGCACGGGTTTCTAGCAGGAGAGATCAGGGGAAGCATTGGATGTGATGCAGCAAACAGGAGGCATACGGGCAGCCTATCTGAAGCCCTCTTGGTGCTGCAGCCCAGTACCTGCTTTCACTGTCTACACAGCCCCCCGAACGAATACGCTCATCTTCCTTATTTTCTGCTACACCATCCTAGTCTAGGTGTCACATATCCCCAGCTCTGACAGCGAAGGTGCCTCGACCCCGGCACTGCGGCGCTCTCCCCGCACCTACACGCCGCAGCCTCCCCTGCAGAGGCTTTCCAAAGCCCGGCTCCTACTTACCCCACGCCTGGGAGAGCGAACTCGGAGGGACGGTCCTCGGTGTGCTTCGGCGGGTCTGCGGAGCTGCGGTGGCAGCGTCAGAGCTGGGCGAGAGTGCACAGCGCGAGAATCATCCAGAGCCTAGAAAGTCGCCGTGCGAGCCGATRTCTGGGGGAAGTCAGCGCAGGCGGCGAGAGGCTGGCATGCTCCGGGCGCGCTGTCGGGCGGCTGCGGCCCCGGGAGGCGGCGCGGGCGCGGGCTGCAGGCAGAGTGCGCTCGGTTCCCGAGCCCAGCTCCGCGGCGCCGCCGAGCACCCCGCCCTCTGCCGCCCGGGTTTGGCGCGAGCAAAAACGCGGATCGGATACCGTCGCAGGATCGAGGCCTCCAGGCGCGCGCCCACGCGCTCCCTGGCTCGGCCCCGAAGAGCAAGGTCGGTGCCCTGATCCGGCTGGCGCCCGGAGGYAGGGCGGCGAGTGGGACGTGCTTTCTGGCAGCGAACTAGGCAAAGACTGGCTCCGCGTGCAGGAACTGGAGGAGCTGGAGACCCGCGATCTGCTGGAAGTTCACCGTGAGGCGGTCCGGGTTCTCGAGTGCAGCGGTGCTGTCTCCTCTGCCCCACCCTCAATTTTAAGCCTCCCCCCCACCCCTAAATTTAAACCAACAATCCTGATGGATTGAAAGACAGGAAGGGTGAAGGGGAAAAAAAGAGACAAACTCAATTTCCTCTGATCAAACAGTTTTGCGGGGAGGTTCCTATTAGAATTCCTTTTCCTTAAATGGGTGTGTGTAGGGGACTAGTTAATTAAACTCATAGATCCTTCCGGCGCGTCTAGTCCATTTGGGGACCCACTTGGACTCGATCCTACGTCATGTAATCTCACAGGCAGGACCAAGTTTCTGCCTTCGAACCAAAGGAGTGGTAGTTCAGAGCAAGAAGTCACAAATTCAGCCTGTAGTCCGTTCCCTTCCCATCCTTAGCGGCCCAGGTCGTTTCAAATCAAAGTCAGGGTGGTGAGTGCATGGGAGAACCTCAGCTGATCCCAGTGTCCCGACCCTAACCCTAAATTTTAGGGTGGCGCACTTAACGCTGTTCTAAGTGTTCATTGGATCGAGAGGATCATTTTCATCCGCCAGACCGCTCTCCGTGTTTTCCGTCTGCCCAATTCCCAGGGCTGGGCTCTCCAGCACTTTCGCCCACGTCGAACTAGGCTCAGCCTGTTGGAAAGTTCTGCCCAGACGGTTGCATTGCCTTAAACCTCCGAACCACCTACCAGTTCCAGATCGGTAGAGTCTCGCACGGTCTGGGTACTATTTCCCCGGAGTTGCAGAGGGCAGATCCCAACGGCAGCTGGTAACCCCAACTTGACAGGTGTCTCTGCAAAACTAGAGCCTTGTTGACCTCTCCATCCCTTCCACCACTCTCTCAGATGCCATATCATCTTCCAGGAAGATAAGGAAGTGTGTGTGTGTGTGTGTGTGTGTGTGTTGGGGGTGGAGGAAGGGTGGTGTTAATTTATACAGTTTTTATCCCTTTAAGAAATTTCAAAACCGTCCATTTTAGAGCTTTTTCAAGCAGCAAGCTTCTTTGATTTTCATTGGGAATAAAGCAAGAGAGTGCTCAGCAAAAATGGAGGAGATGAAAAGGAGGACATAAGGTGGTGACAACTTAAGGCAAATGGAGGAGGAAACTACCCAAAGTTGAGCCTCAGTTCTGTGCTCTGTAGTTGAGCCTGACTCAAATCTCTATGCACTATAGAAATTATCTAGACACCCAGGCAGGGCAGATCACTCAAGAAGCAGGGCTGCTGCTTTTGAAATAACTCTACTTGCTAGTGGATTTTGCAACGGAAGAGAATGTGAGGAAGAACAACCTAGGCTATCTTGTTCCTCAGGATTTCTTTGAAGTCAGCCTTTTAAGTTATGTTTATCTTAGAAACAGACACTTTTCTTTTTCTTTTTTATTTTTGGTACCAGAGATTGAACCCAGGGGCACTTAATCACTGAGCCACATCCCCAGCCCGTTTTTATTTTGAGACAAACAGGGTTTTTCTGAATTGCTTAGGGCTTTCTTAAGTTGTTGAAGCTGGCTTTGAACTTGTGATCCTCCTGCCGAATGCATTGCCATGCCCCCCTGAAACACTTTTCTTAAGGAATAAACTTGTAGCTTTTAGCTAACTTCCAGAACTGCCCAAGAAAACTGGCAAAATGATTACTTCCACCCCTAGAGGTGGTGAAAATTAGTACTTTCAAGGGCAAAGAGTAGACTCTCTATAAGCCGCTTTGGGTGCGTATTTTTTCAAAGCCTTCAAGTCAAAGTAGTTTCCCAACAAATTGAATGACAAGGGGAATGAAATCAGAGGGATGGCATCCTTTAACTTCTACAGCTGCATCTTCTTGGGAAAGTATTCTTCCATGGGTCACTGAGGTGTTGCAGCAGAATTAGGTAATGTAGCCCATGGAGAAGAGTCTGCCCTTGGACTTCCTTGTTAATTGGGGAAAATGCTACTATCTTATGGTAAGAAGTGAGTCTGACACCAGAGAACTTAGAACTCTACACTGACTTCACAAAGTTTTTGCTTTTGATCATCTAGTATGTTGAGCAAATATGTTAGGTATGGTAAGTGTAAACAATTGTCCCTACAAGAGGCTTATTTCCTCCTTGGGCAGTGTGCTGAAAGCATCTCTGGGATCCAGTACTAATGTGAATACCTGGTTTTCAATCAAGACTCTCATCAAATTTCTTGGGTGGTACATGTGCTAGTTCAAGTTCAGGGTGGCCAGATTTCAAACCTSAGCTCTGTCTTTACCAAATAGAGCTTGGAGAAATGTTGTTAACCTGCTTATGCTCAGTTTCTCACTTTTAAAGGAAGATAATAATATCTAACGCAAGGAACTGTTGGGAGGATTAAATGCCCAAAAGACTTAAATAGTGGAAAGTTCATATAATGCYATTTTATAGGGACAGCTCTCACAAACACTCTTCTCTGATGCAAAATCTCACAAAATAGAAAAAGAAACCATTTCTCCTAATTTAATCTGTGACAGTATTCTTCATTGTGCACTATGAAATTTCTCCTAGGTCTCTTTTATTAATGACATTCATTCACTTCTTTGTCTTTACAAATAAACATAATACTAAACCTTTTTATAAATAAGTCAWTTCACTTAGAGAATGTCTCCTTTTCTTTTAAAACCTTGATATCAGGTTTTTTTTTTTAAATGACATCATTGTTTGTTGCATTGTATTCTTCAATAGTTTYCATGTTGAAGTCCTTATGTCCAGTACCTCAGAGTTGTGACCTTATTTAGAGATAGGGTCTTTTCAGACATAATCAAGTTAAAATGAAGTCACTAGATTGAGCCATAATCTAGTATGACTATTGTCCTTATAAAAGGGGGAAATTTGGAGACAGGCATGCACACAGGGAGAACACCATGTAAAGATGAAGGCAGAGATAGGGTGATGTTTCTATAAGCCAAGAACACCAAAGATTGCCAACAAATTCCCAGATGCTAGGGGAGGGACATGGAGTAGATTTTTTCCCTCACTGCTTTCAGAGGGAACCAATTTTATCCATAGCTTAATTTCAAACTCCTCTCTATCTCAATTGTAAGACAATAAATTTCTATTGTTCAGGCCACCCAGTCTGTGGTGCCTTGTCATAGCAGCACCAGCAAATGCATGTGATATCCAGCCAAGTGCTGTGAAAGCCTCCTGGCTCACCCTGAAGAGTCCTTTCATCGAAGATGAAGAATTCACAGCAGCTTAGGCTGCAAACGTGGGGTTCTTCCACATGCAAGAAACTGAGAGTGTTGACAGTCCCTGTTTGATTCCCAGGTCTGATTGATTCTTATGGTTTGCTTGGTTCTGTTCCCTGTGACTCTGGGTCCTCYACATCTGGAACTCCTTTACCTGACCTGCAGACTCAGCCTCACCCAGCTTTGGGAGGGTAAATCAGTCTTGACCCTGTAGTGATCAGCCAGGGCTTAGCTGTGCTAAAAATCCTTCCTAGGCTTCCCCGAGCTTTCAGGACAAAGTGCACGCTTCTTGGATTAGTCAAAAAGGTCCTTCTTGTTTGCACTTTTCCTATCTCTCCAGTTTATTTTCCTACTGCTCCCCACCCTTGTTTGCTCTAGCCGTATTAAACTATTTACAATTCTTCAAAAACATCAAGCTATTTTATGCCTCTGTGCTTTGAGCTACCTAGAAAGTTACCCACTGATAACTGCCCTCCTTGAATTAGCTAATTCCTGCTTATCCTTTAAAATTCAATTCAAACATCATCTTCCTGATGGTCCATCAATGTGCATATTTTTTTTTGGTCTGACCAGAATGTTTCTTTTCCTTAAGGCCCCAGAGTTCCTTTGAGAAATCACCTTTCCCCACTGTCAGTGCACATGAGTCAGAAACTCATCCCTGGTTTTGGGGCCAAGAGCATGTGGCCCAGACCTGGAAGATTACAGCACTGGATCCCCCTGATCAAAAGGTTAGTTCAGAGATGGTCTTGCAGGGATTTTAGGAATTGAACAAATATTTATTTTTCACATATGTACCAGCCACCTCTTTGCTGGGAATTCAATAGAAAACCAAAGTCTTTAGGCCAGTGGATTTCATGCTCATAGGAGACATTTGCTTATTCTTTTGTATAGCTGGGAAGACAGGGATAGGCTTTGGAGGCCATTTTGCCACCATATAAAGCCAGAGCATGAAGCAAGCATGAGGAAGACACAAGTGAGAGATAAAGAGGGACAAGGACCTACTTCAAGGTTTTGAATCAAACCTTACCTGAAAACAAACTACCACTGAACTTCTCAGGTTAAGTTAAAAWTTTGTTTATGTTGAAGCCAATTGAGGGTTTAAATGACTTGCAAATTAAACAGTGCTCACTGGTGGTATACCCTTCCACCATTTAGAGGCTACTTTTCTCGGTTCAACTTTCCATTCCTCTATCACTTCATTTATTTGATTAGTTCTATCTGACTTTATCCCCCCCAAAATATTTAAGCTCACTTAACAGCTTTTCAATAAGAGTAAACAGCAAGGTAACAACTTGAAAGTACTTACAAAAAAAAATGAGACAAATTCATAGAGTTCACCCTCCAAAGAGTGGGACACAATTTAGCTTTCTATTTTCTATCAGCCAGTATGACAAAGTCTCATGCAATTCAAAAGTCAGCCAAGATAAAACAATCATATTAGAAGATGCAAAACTACTACTAAGTCAGAGAGCAGAGAGAAGCATACCCATCCCAGATCCTCAAAAAGAAGGCTCTAGAAAAATGATGAACA